CCCACACCCACACCCACCCAACGTTTACTCGTTCAGGAATTCATTTTCTTTTAGAAGATTCAGTACGTTTAGAAAATTGTCTTCGTTCATTAGCATTGGAAAAATGTCCCAATCTAAGAAACTTCCTCTGTTTACTTCATATTGATATCAGTCGACCGAAATTCGATTTCAAACCACCATCACGAACACTAACATCTAGAGGCAAACCGATTCGAAAATTAAACTTCGATCTTGATGAACGTGCAGTTTCTGTGCCTCTAGCAACGCCTAAAGAAACAGCAACTACTGTAAAACTAATTACAACCGATCAACAAAATGTCACTTTATCCAGAGCGGAGTGGGAAAGTGCGATTCAACAGGGAGTTCAGAAACAAAGAAAAGCATCGTTATTATCAACGAATATCAGAAGCCAAAAAAGCGATAAAAAGAGCCTTATTCGAAATCGTGCGCAGAAATTAGCGAATGAGATGTTAAATGAAATATCCATGACTCAAAATAATACCACCAGTTTCGCTTTGGATAGTGCATCTGATGGCGGCATTTTGCAGTCAATTAATACCACGACAGTACCCGAGGTCATTTTTGAATTAAGCTTCAGTCATATGAAAAAACATTTGCAAACCGATCAGCAACTTATTGAAATGTATAAATCAAACGATCAAAAGGTCTTGTCGATTATGCCTGAAGGTAAATTGGACCATCGTTCACCACTTAAAGCAAGAACAAAACCGACACAGTGGACGTATCCATTATTAATTGAAACACCGGTGATTGCACAAATGATCGATTTGATGGTTGAAGGATTTCGTGCCAATTGGGAACAAATGATCAATCAAAATAAATCATTGGAACAACGTGAAATTCATTGGTGCATATTGATTGATAATTCGGGTTCAATGAGTATTCATCGCAATGCTATCTACGAAAGTTTAGTTGTACTTATGGAATTCTTACGTAAACTCGAAAGTAAATTTGCTGTGGCGCGTTTTGGCGGACGAACCAATCAAAAAATATTGAAAAATATGGATGATTTATTCACCAATCAAGATGGTCAATATGTTCTCGAAGCATTGACATTTGATGAAGGTACTTATCCAGCAACTGGACTTGCACGCGTTGCTGATCTGGTCTTTCCTCGAGACAAATTACGATCATCTTCTGATATTATTGTTCATCAATGCGTTGTTATGATCACAGATGGTCTAACTCAAGAACGTGAAGATACGACCTATACAGGGACAACCGACAAATATGGTCTTGATCTTGGTATTTTGTTTATCGAAACGGGCGAAGCAGAAACAAGCGAAGTGCTGCTTGAATATTTAAAAAATGTGACAAATGTTAAAATAAAATCGGATAAAATGCATGACTTACCTCATCTTATGCCACAACTATTGCATCAAATGACGAAAAAATGTTTGGAAAAAGCAATAAAAAAAAAACAAGAATTCATTCCACTGTCAACCATCCAAGTGGTAGTGCCAAGCTATGATGGAACAATTCCGGTACCTAGTAAATTAGAGATCGAGAAATTCAAATATTCAAGTTTTAATCCAAGCTCGTACGTGATCAGTAGTCCAACGGCAATTATCCCTAATTTAGCTCTGGTGAGTTGTAGATTACAAAAGAGCGTTATTCGTTTGATTTCTTTTTAGGTTCAGGCATCTTTACCAAACTATTTATCGAGTACTACTGAGTTTACTAATTGCGCCTCATCGGCTATTAGTGAACTGCGTAAGTACTATCAAACACTCAATACAGAAACAGCGATAATCGAGACCGAAAAGGCTTGGCTTAACGAAGAACATCGATTTTCTGCGTTGATTGATGATGTTTCGACAGTACTCGGTGATGTGGTCTTTCCATTCAATAAATTTACTCGCCGTCGAGCAGCACTACATGGCTCATCATTATATATGCCCGGCGTTATTAAAGCCATGACTAGCGAATGGAATTATAAGAAAATCTTCGGTGTCAAACTTGCTGGTGGTAAACGTGATCATACCGTATGTCTTGTCATTGATGTTTCGACATCCATGTTCGGTACACTTGCAATGGGTACTCTTGAAGGACTTGTCGTTTTAATTGCTGCCTTACAAAAAATCGCCATCGATAATTTTTCAATCGTGATTTTTGGTCGAAATGTTCGTTTAATTAAAACCAATGAACAACGATGGGATGCATTAAGTATCTATACTTTAATGCAGCAGTTACGTTTTGATCTCGATGAAGGAACAAGAGATGCCGATGGAATTGAAGTGGCTATTGATTTACTTGGACAATATTCGACACGAGGTGAAAAGAAAATTTTTATCGTCACTGATGGTTACACTAGCTGTGGAACTCATCTGGCGAAAGTCCAACGACGTGCCGACGAAAATAGTATCGATGTCGTGGCGATGGCTATTGGACTTGATCAAACGAATTTGAAAAATGTTTATAAACGTTATTTTCAATGTGCTACTGTTTATGGTTTACCAAAAGCTTTCCGAGCGCTGTTCGAAAACGAAACTCAACTAACATCATCGGATTGGTCACAAAAACGAATTCTCGACGAAGTTGAAGCAAGTCGAAAACAATTGCAACATCTGTTTCACGCTGTCGAATCAGAAAAGATTTTTGAATCGATGATTACTGAATTGGCGGATCATCGTGATATGAAATTACTGACTAATGCTGCAGTATCTGTCGATCTCTCCGTAGATATTTGTTTCTGTCTCGATTGTACAGGCAGTATGTCCCGATGGATTGCTGCTATGAAAGCTCAGATGCATGAAATTATTACAGGTATTCGAAAGCAAATCGACAAGAAATATCCGCAACTTAAACTGAAAGTCAAATTACGTTTTGCCATTGTTGGCTATCGAGATGTGCGAGATAATCCTCGATTTTTCAATTGTGATTTCAAGGATCAAACCAACGAAGTGATCCAATTTCTTGAGACATTAACAGCAAGTGGTGGCGATGATCTGCCTGAAGATGTACTTGGTGCTCTTCATACATGTTTAAAATTACCAGGCTGGAAAGCAAAACATGCACGTTTTATCATTGTTATTACGGACGCGCCAGGGCATGGAGAATTAAATGACAAACTCAAAGATGATTATCCGCAGGTACACAAAGAAATTATTGCATCAAAAATTATTCTGATGAAATCTGGTTTTTCTTGTAGGGAGTCGGTGTACATACGTTGAACGAAATCTGTGAACGTCTTCTAATGAAAGACCACGAGACTGAACTTTTATTCTACTGTATGAACGAACGAACAACGAAAAAAATGACGAATGCTTTTCAAAACTATTATGCTAAGCAGAGGGATAAAACAGATAAAAGATGTGTTGTGATCTATCCATTCAAAGATAATGAACCAGCTACACAATCGTTTCATTTTGTGTTTGTACTCGATGGATCGGTTTCCATGGCTCATCATTGGACAGCTTTACTACAAGCATATGCGGGCTTCATACAAGTTCGAAAGAGAAATCAAGGTGAAGGAGATATTTTTAGTGTGGTGCAATTTAGTGATGAAGGGCGTATTGAATACGAACAAAAAGATGCGAGAAATGCTCGTACTAGTATCGAGCAATGGCGCCATTCAACAAATTATTGTGCTGGTTTAGCAAAAGCAGAAGAAGTGATCGAACGTGATTCGAGCAATTCACCAATAATTATGATCTTCATGTCGGATGGAAAAGATCGATCAGAAGGAAATCCTACAAAACTCGTCAGAGATCTTCGAAATAAATATGCGGCAAAACACAATTTCATTTGTCATACTGTTGCTTTTGGTGCGGCGATTGCTGGTGATCAGAACAGTTTGGCATTGCTAAAAAATATGGCGACAGCTGGAGCGGGTGATGCTCATATGGCCTTGGACGACAAGAGTCTCAAACTGAAATTTGTGGAGATTGCAACGAATAATAAAACAACAGCTGAATTGGTCGAAAGTTTTTCGAAAACTCTTTCTAGGGAGATCAGCAATCAAATTGTAGCTGACTTTCTTTGAATTGACATTTTCATTTTTTTTCCTTCATCTCATAATAAAGAAAACTCTTAAAGCTAATTCGACGCTTTTTAAAACTTGAATTTTTTTAGAGGCGTTACAAAAGAACTTATCATCTACGTCTTTTTTCCATGTAGAACATATTCAACTCGTTGCTATAATTATTCGGTTTTCTTATTTCTATGTATTTAGATGAGATTAAGTTCAAACGTCTTTTTCTTTACATTATAGATCAATGGTCGATCGAAATATATAAACGCTGATGAAAAAGTGAATTCAACTACTTCATCGAGATGTTCTTGTTAACATCATCCTCAGACAAACATTGAAACAATGAAAAAGAGAATACTATAGATGAACATATATATCGAATCAAGGTATTCGACTTTGTTTTTCTTTTCTTTCAAATAGATATAAATACTCTTCGATCACATGTGAATTATTCACTAGTGGTTCGGGTCATGCCGCGTGATACCAATCGTAAGTGAAGGGATGTTAATCTATACAAAACATTTCTTTTCTTTCTTGTCATTCATTCAGAATCTTTCGGCTATGATGAAACTAATCGTGATATCTCTCGTCGTCCTTATGCACCATCATTGAATAACAATAACAATAATAATAATATCATTATCGATGGACATATTTTTCATCTTGGTTCGAGATATTCTCTACCGAAAATAATCGGTTCAGGCGCGCATGGTCAACTCATATCGGCCTACGGCGCTCTACTTCAACAAAAACTTGCAGTAAAAAAAAACCAAATTACCCACCATCAATGCGATCGAATCGAAAGGCTGTGGGCGTGTGGGTGTCGGGTGTCATGTGGGTGTGGGTGTGTAGGATGTGTGTGGGTGTGTGGATGGGTGAGCGTGGGTGTGGATGTGGATGTGTGGTGTGGGTGTCGGTGTGGAGGTGTGTAGGTGTGGGTGTGGCAGTGGCTCTGGGAGTGTGGTGTGGGTGTGTGTGGCTGTGGCTGTGGCTGTGAGAGTGTGGTGTGGGTGTGTGTGGGTGTGTTGGGTGTGTGTGGCTGTGGCTGTGGGAGTGTGGTGTGGGTGGACGCGTTGGCTGTGTGTGAGTATGTTGGGTGTGTGTGGCTGTGGCTGTGGGTGTAGATGTGTGGGTGTGGTGGTGGACGATGATGCTCTTCTCACCCATACTCACACCCCACACTAGGGATGCACCAGTCCCAGTCCTGACTAATGAACTGGGTCCCAGCTCGACTGGGTAAAAGTTCGAGTCCTAGCAAAAATACCTATGGATTCTTGTTTTATGAATTCTCACTGTCATTCGATGTTAGATCCAGTCCGACTGGGCCTTACATCGAACGATACTTACCTTATATAGAACAAGAATCTAGAAGTATTTTTGTTAGAACTCGAAGTTTTACCCAGTCGGACTGGGCTCCCAGTCCGATTGGGTGCCCAGTCCGATTGGGTGCCCAGTCCGATTGGGTGCCCAGTCCGATTGGGTGCCCAGTCCGACTGGCACCCAGTTAACTGGCACTGGTGCACCCCTACCCCCCCTCCCCCTCACACACACCCAACATCCACATCCACTCAGACACCTCCACATCCACACCCACTCAGACACCTCCATACCCACACCGACACCCACCTCACACCCACACCCACACCCACACCCGAACCCACACCCGAACCCACACCTTAGTTCATGAACACTCTTAATTATATTAATTTCATATAGTATATATACTCAAAACCATAATAGAACGTGAGCCCTACATTGAGTACTATAAATGATAAAAAAATCATATTGTTCTGATTTACTAGTGTCGATATCTTAAACAAGGAATCTGGATATTCGACCAGACTGATCATTCCCATATATATATATCATCTCTTTCTTTCCTTTTCTGCGGTATATCATCTATCTTGTCTCGTTCTCTCTTTGTTTCTCTCACGTGTTTCGTTTCGTTCAATAAACCAAACTCACAGACAAATCCGAATCTATAATTTGTTTATTTATCTATTTATTTGTATAATAGTATCGACAACAATCGATTGTTAAAAAGAAAGAGTTATGATTAGTAGATGGATTTGTATTCTTGGATAATATAAGGAACGATTTGTTTTTCATTTGAATAGCTCGTCTAGCGTATATGACACTTACACACATTAGTAAAAATAGGAGCAGAACCATCAGATCCAGGCGCCTCATGAAGATAAAAATGTTCATTTTCATTATCAACAATTTGATTCCTTGCAGGAGGATTATAAACTTTAGTAGCACGACAAGTTGCGTTGGGACGTTTGTGCCATTGGCCGCCTTGAAAAACCCAATCGCAACACTGTCCACAATTGTTACAAGTAGTACCGCCACACCGTGCGAACGCCATGCTTGTTTCTATTGATATCTATTATAATGTAAATATTACGAATATGATGAAGTATTTTTATTGTGACTTGACCTTCACACTTGCTACTAGGGGTGTACAGCTCACGCTCACGCTCATGTAAGCGCGAGCGGTGACCGCTCACGCTCATATGAGCGCTCATGAGCGTGAGCGTTTTTGACTTGTGGAAAGTAGGATCCTCCCTGATCACGTTTTTCAACTTTATTCCCCGAAAATCGACATTGACGATTTTTGTGCCTGGGGTCCCCCTCAGGTATCATCAAAAAAAAAAAATTTTTTTTCCGAGTCAAAACTAGATGTGCTTGTAGATTCAGATGTGCTGATTACGAATATCACAATAGAAGCTAGTTGTGTGTTTCTCCCAAATGTTAATGCATCTTGTAACTGAAGTACTTAGGGCTATCCAAAAGTAGTGTCGCCATTACCAAATTTCCCTACAGAATGCTTAAAGAATTTTTCTTTTTTTATGCAGTGATAGAGAAAACGATACTCTATTTTTCTGTGCTATTTGATCAATCTTCAACTAATATCATAACAATAAAATTCAGATAGGAATTGTTTTTATGTAAAACTTCACTAACGGGTGAGGCAAATTAATATGTTTTGCATTTCAATTTTCAATCACTTAATGTAGTGTTAAAAAACAAAATATACCAAAAGATGCAGTGTGAAAAACTTTACAATTTTTAAGGAACAGTTTATTTTATATATGAAATAAGAAAAAAATTATTTTTTCGGGTCAGCGAAAATTGGTTGCACAGAATTTTCGTTTTGTTTAAAAACAAGAAGTACGCAATTAAAATAAGCTTTACTTTGTAGATTGTAGAGCTTTTCACGTTCACGCTGCACCTTGTGATGTACTTTGATTTTTTTAAGTGAAAGATATTAGGAGATAAAAAGATGAAGTAAGACAAAATGAATTAATCTTCTACCAAAAAATATCGTTTCCGTACGGTCGAAAATTGGTCGTTCAAAATTTCGTTCATTTTGAAAACAAAAAATGCAGCTATAAAACAAGTGGTCTTATGTAAATTGTAGAGCTTTTCACGCTGCATCTTTTGGTATATTTCACTTTTTAATACAATGTATTGTACGATTGAAACATTTAATCTACCTCACCCCTTAGTTAAGTTTTACACAAAAACAATTCCTATCTGAATTTTATTGTTATGATATTAGTTGAAGATTGATCAAATAGCACAGAAAAATAGAGTATCGTTTTCTCTATCACTGCATAAAAAAAGAAAAATTCTTTAAGCATTCTGTAGGGAAATTTGGTAATGGCGACACTACTTTTGGATAGCCCTAAGTACTTCAGTTACAAGATGCATTAACATTTGGGAGAAACACACAACTAGCTTCTATTGTGATATTCGTAATCAGCACATCTGAATCTACAAGCACATCTAGTTTTGACTCGGAAAAAAAATTTTTTTTTTTTGATGATACCTGAGGGGGACCCCAGGCACAAAAATCGTCAATGTCGATTTTCGGGGAATAAAGTTGAAAAACGTGATCAGGGAGGATCCTACTTTCCACAAGTCAAAAACGCTCACGCTCATGAGCGCTCATATGAGCGTGAGCGGTCACCGCTCGCGCTTACATGAGCGTGAGCTGTACACCCCTACTTGCTACGAAAAAACTAGTAACGTAAAACGACACTATTACTAGATTCTTTTATAACAATTCTAGTAGATGAAGAATGAAAATGTTTACCTCTTTTATAGAACAATCGTCTTCATATCTTTCAAACGAAATGGGTAAGTTGTCATGAAAATTAGACAAATGTGACAGCGAAGATGTGCCGATGGGAGTTTTTTCCCAGTCACAGTGAAGAAAAAGAAAAAAACAGAAAGAAAGCATGTTGATATAAATTGGGATTGCATGATGCATCACATAATTCAAGAGGGCGAGTTTAAAGTAAAATACCACGGCCAAGGGAAGAAAAAGCGATTCTTCATCTCATCACTCTGCTAAAATATTGTCTTTCATAGGTTATTGTTTTCTGATACGTATAATTTTTATGCGCTCAATACGATCCAAGCTGCTACTGATGTACATTGCACATGTGCATTTCATTCTTCGAATCGAACTAATCGGCAACATAATATTGTCTGAGTGTGCAAAGCTTAGTGATATTACGCGTGTTTGTATAGTTGATCATGATTTTAACACATACACTAACATAAGAATCAACAAAAAGAGAGCAACAAGGAGAATGAAAAAGAGAACCGAAGAACCAGTTTGATTTCAGTTTTTTCTGATTTCAGTTACTCGATTTCTATTCTGTTCAATTCTACTCCTCCCAACTTCAATTCCGTTTTCAACTCCTCAGTTCAAATTCAAGTCCATTATCAGTTTTTCAATTCAATTCACTTGTAAGTCTAGAATTGGAACCGAATTGAAAAAAAATTGAAATTGGTGCATCCCTATGTGAGAGTGTACTGAAGTTGTTAAGGATGTATGTAGATAGCCAGTTAGCTTGTGTATTTATATTCAGTAGAATTACTTGGTTGTTTTTCATGTTTATTTGTGTGGATCAATGAACTGGAATATTTCATACACATAGATGTTAGAGAATGATGCATATCAACCTCTCCTTCTCTTTCTTTCTTTTCTTCACGTA